ATTATGCTTAAAACAACATGCAAATAGGTCTAAAAGCTTAAGCCAAAATGGGGAAACAAAAGGTTAGTTGCTCACCCTTGAAGAACACCTTCAAGAACATAGCTCCAGCCACTCTCTTGGATCAAAACCAGCCCAAGAACTCTGAAACCAACTTCCTAGTGCGTCAGCAACCAAAGGAAGGTGTTCTACTAGGTGCTATAGTGCAAAAGTATGAACAAAATACACTTTTAAGGCACCAACACACACACAAATATATATATATATAGATATATATATATATATATATATATATATAGAGAGAGGGATATATGAACCTCTGGAAAGAAAGGGGAGGCTCCCCTCTTATAGAAATCCAATTCTCAACCTTGTTAAACAAGCTTGAGTCGGGCAAATCCCTCCATACACGTGTATGGAGGATCAGAATTGTGCATACCAGCTGTCACAGCTGGCACAAAATATCTACAAAAAGCAGATGGAAGGGGCTCGGCTAGAAAATATGGCCAATCGATCAACATAAGTGCCGATCGACCAAAAAAAGGTTCCGATCGGCCAAAATTTTTGGCCGATGGCAAGAAAACAAGGCCGATGGTTTCAAGCCTTGGCCGATGGGTTCAGGGGATGGCAAACAAGCCACCCTCTTCCCTCAGAAGCAAAACCACAAGTCCTTGGTCCACAACCAAGCACAAAATAGATAAATTGAGAGATCCTAAGGCAAGGCACGCAGCCGAGACCTTCGGGAACTCAAAACGAACACGAACATGGATGATTATCGAGTGTTCAAACGATGATGTCCAAGTCTTGAGGACGGTCAAAAATGGAGTGTCTACACCAGGGCCCGTGGCATTTCCTACCCCCATCATTGTTTTCTCCACCTCTGCCTCTAGGGTCACCTCTACCCTTCCCTCCTTCATCTTTTTCGACACATAAAACCACTGTGGCCTCCACCCCTTCACTGACGATGGCAACCCCACCACCAGACCCTTACCCGCCACCGCCTGCAAAATCACCCAAGTTTCTTGTTGGCTCAAAGCCTTGTAGCAAGCAAAAAACTCATCTACTGTCATTGCAGCTCCCCCGTTCGCCCGTGGCCACGCACTCGCGCAGGCCAATAATATTTTCCACGCATTGGGCATCAGTTGACCCGGCGCCACCTCCAACCGGTTTAGCACATCCACAACTATCTGTGGGAGCGGCAACCTCAACTCTCCCTTTAACGACTCTTCATAGAGGGAAAACTCTGTCGGCCCGGCGTCGGATGGCCTCTCCTTCGACGTCGACAATTTTAACATCTCCGCGTGAATCTGATACTTCTCACGCATCTCCTCTAACTCCTCCTCTGTAAACGTCGATTTATCGGCCTTTGTGTGCTAGTGATCCGGTCCTACTTGATTAATTGGCTTTACAGCCGCTATCAGAGTAGACTGACGGGGTCGCCCAGCGGGCTTCGCCTCACTTCCTACCCGCTTCTCCGTCCTATATTGCTTCGCCAACTCCACGGCATCATCCTCTCCCAACACCTCTAGCCTCGTAGCTGGCACTTCATCTCGAGCAATCTCTTCTATGTGTTTGCATATCGCGTCGGACGCTGGCACAAGGAAGTTTACAAAATGTTGCAGAGGTGTGTCACACGAAACAAATGAGTTTACCTCTGGGGTGTGTTGATTTTTTGCGACAAGGTAAGTAAAGTGAACAACTCCAAATGCCCATGGTTTGCCTATATTCCAAGGGTCAAGATTAAATTTCGCCAGTTTAAAAATTTTCAAAAAATTACGCCCCTGCCTTTTCAACGCCCTATATTAGCTTATCCCTTCATCTCCTGCTAACCCATCACCTCATCCATTACGGGATTGTGCCACGTGTACAATCACGATCCACTACTCTCTTCCTCTCCCCCTGTCTATTCCACTTCATATCATCATGTGACGCGCCGTGCCTCGAGCCTTGTGCGGCGCCGTTCCCCTTCCCAGTCAGCCCACTTCTCAGTCGACCTTCCCGCTCGGCCACCCTTCGCGGTCGACCCACCTCTCAGTCGACCTTCCCGTTCAACCACCCTTCGCGGTTGGCCACCTCTCAGTCGACCTTCCAGCTCGGCCACCCTTCGTGGACGGCCCACCTCTCAGTCGACTTTCTCGCTCGGTCACCCTTCGCAGTCGGCCCACTTCTCAGTCGACCTTATCGCTCGAGTACCCTTCGCGGTCAGCCCTACTCCCAGCCCGTCCTTCCACCCAACCACTCACCAACCCCTGTTTTCTTCTTTATTCCCTTCGTTAGACTAAAGCTGCACTTGGGAATGGGGGACTACTGACATAGGTGGCCCTATAGGAGCTTTTGGCCCACCACTTGGAGCCCAATGCATAATTCAAACACTAAAACCCAACATTGCTGGAGCTCAACGTGGCATTAAGGACCAATGACATCTAAACACGTGTCAGGAAAAGAACCAGTCACATAAGCAGACAAAGATCCTGCAAAGTTATTGCACCACACCTCAGCCATTAATGAGGTTCTTTGCAGCATTTATTGCGATAACTCCCCCTCGACGGAACAGAACGGCTTCACCTTGAACAAGGCAAGCTAGAACATAGACTTTCAGCCAACGCGACAGGTTGGAATGGACAAGGAAATGATGAGCAAATGATATAAGCAGGTTTCTAAGACAAAGAACATGTTAAGTTCTTTATCACCACCCTATTTCTACATTCCATCACTCTCATTTCTCTAACTTGCTTGGCGGAGGGTTTGCCGTTCCCCATTGAACTCTTGTGCTGGTTTCGCTGTGGGCTCAACACTCGGGCAATGGTTCGAAAAACGTGGATCAATCTGACCCATTCCATCTGGAGCGTACGATATCATCAAGTATTATTATATATAATTAAAATTAGGTAAACAGAGCTGTCATAGAATAAGGATAACTATATGATATAGATGTTTATATAAAATACATGAGGTACTGAGTGCTTGTTTGGCATGCATTAAAAAATTATATTTTTTTGTATACATGCATGTATTTGGGTCACATCAATCAATATTTATCAACATCTCCTCTTTATTTTTTTTTATTCACTTTTTTTTTACTTTTCTACACAATTTTTTATTTATTTTTTATTTTTTATAAAAAGTCAAAAAGTATACTTATTTAGAACATCCTAAGCGAATATAATTCTATCTTTTTGCCCTCAGCTGAATGTAAGATTCAAGGATATTGTGTCACTGAACGTTACAATTGGACTCAAGATGACTGATTTGGTCTAAGGCGCTAATTTCATGAACTGATCCGAAAGGGTTTTTGGTTCAAATCCCATTCTTGACATGTTTCTAATATTTTTACACTATTATTATTTTTGTTGTATTATTAAAAATCTTTAATTTTACTTGCTAGCCCGAAGATACTTCGACAATCAACTTAGATAACATATATCTAAATCAAACTGAATAAGTAAATATAATAGTTTGGGCATACCTCCCCTCGGAGATGAAGATTACATTCCTTTATATAGGCAAACTTGTCACTCATTTTATCTAATGAGCTTAAACCACCTATTTGGTCCAATGAAAATAAGTCACTTGTATGGCCCAAAACTTATCTGATACATATATGTTAGAGCAACTTGGCAAGCTGCATTGCAAGGTATTATTTATTACCTTAATTCTACTTCCATGTCAGCATTGGGTGGGCCCACCTCACCTGAGTTAATTTTTATCCCTCCGTAGTTGTATAATGGAAGAATATAATGTAACAAAATTGAAAGCATAAGATTCACATTATTTAAATTAAAATATGGTGATATTTTCTAAAAATTAAAATTAAAATACGAAAACTAAAGTGACATTTCGCTTAAATTACAAAAACTAATAGTATAATTTAGGGAGACTTACGTGTAGGTTCTAATAGGTAGATTTATTATCCAATAAGTCTTGTGATAATTAACGGCATTTTCATCAAATATTATTAAAAAAGTCACTAATTATTAATTTTCAGTGACAATTTTAAAAATTGTCACAAAAAAGTCACTAATTATAAATTTTAACGACAGTTTAAAAAAATTGTTACAAAAAAATATCACTAATTTTTAACTTTCAACGACAATTTGGAAAATTAGTTGTAGAAAAAGGTCACTAATTGTAAGTTTTTGCAACAATTTATAAAAATTGTGACAAAAAAAAGTCACTAATTATTAATTTTTAACGACGTATGCAAAAAATTGTCACAAAAAATTAATTTTAGCGACGATTTTATTAGGATAAATTTTCAATAGAATTTAATGAGAATAAAATCTAACTATTATGATCTATTGGTAGTTTGTCCTATAGTTTAGGGATAATTGCACTTCGGTGGGATTTTGGAAAAAAATTACATATTGATGAAAAAGTTTACAATTTTAATTATTAATATTTATAAAATTTCTTATTAATTTACAATTATTTTTACAAATTACACTGATTTTTGATATTTCTCCGATAATTTATTGGTACCTCAAATACCCATGATGAGAATTAAAGAGAATATTAACCCTTCTAAAACAGTCTGGGTCTGATAAAGATCATTCCAAATTCTTTTTTCAATGTTTTGTAGAAAATATTCTATTCATACAAAATACTACAAGAATAAGGTGGTTATTATTTTTATAAATAAAATTTATTTGTATGAATATTTTGTTTCTAATGAAAATTTCACATTGAGTTATATCAATTCATATAATTTTTGTATTTATATGAGATTTTTTGAAAAATAATGTTTAGCCCAACACATGAACATACAAAAAAGTGAGGCCATGGAAAAATAGGCACTGATTTTTGATCTGAGATCAAACACTTTTGAGCTAATTATGATAATTTTGGACCACTAATTATCCATATCTACATCACAACTAGTATAACTAAAAAAAAAATATCGATATAAAATTTAAATTTACATTATACATATCATTTCTTAACCACTTTTCAAGTTATTTTTTTCTCATCCTCAACTTAAAAAAATAAATAAATAAAACTTATACCAAAAAAAAAAAAAATGTTTTAATAACATGGTTTTTTTCATCATATACTTGAAAGGAATATTAGCCTCCTTAACACACCATCTTAATCATCTACCGAACTTCACTTCACTTTTTTTGATCAGAAACTTCACTTCACTTACAACACATTCTCAAAATTTTTGAAAAAAAAAAAAAAATTGTAAGTGCAGCAAAGATAAAATTAAACATAACACTCTAACATAAGGCCGGTCTTACTAAATGTGCATGTCCCACCTCAATTGATGGGGTTACGTAAAAAAAAATTATAATTTCTCTACAAATCACTCAACTATGGCTTGACCCACTTGCTTTTTCAGACCCCCCAATCAGCCCTTCTCTCCTCAACTTCTCTTCCTTAGCTTTCCTGCAAAAAACCACCCAAGCATTCACTTCCATTGCGACACACACACCAATCAAAGTAGACAGACTCAAACAATACCCCAACTTTGCATAAGATCTTCCCTCTCCCATCACTTCAAAGCCCTGAAAAACATTCACAACCCCAATCACCACACAAGCATATCCAACAAAATGGTGGTATGATTTCCAATACTTCCTGAACTTAGAGAGACCAAATTTGTATTCGTAACTTGAAAGGATTGGCACAAATTTTGAGTGCTTGATAATCCTTTCTTTTAAGTTTGAGGAACTTTACAGAGAATTTTAATAAGAGAATTTGGCAGAGTCTCGAGATTGCTTAAGAACTTGCAAGACTATTAGCCAAAAAATGTGTAACCCTTTTCCCCCTAATGAAAGCCTCTATTTATAGACTTAAGAAATGAGGGTTAATTTTGAAAACTCCAAAATTGACTCCAATTTCTTAGAAACTGTAGATACCCCATTTTTGACCGACCTTAAGACTCAGACGTCATTGATTGAGCGCTTGGTGATGTTGCATATCGTGCTCGTTCTGAGGTTGCGGAGTCTCGGCTGCGAGCCTTGCCTCCAAACTTCGAGGCTCTTTTGTGCTTTGCCTCGGTTTGCGAATCAGGTCCTATTTTCTTTGTTTTCTCTTCCCGAAGGGAGGGAGAGGTCTTGTAGATCATCTCTTAGTGGCCGTAGGCTATGTTTCATGGTCGTAGGCCATTTTTCTCGTTTGGAGCCCGGTTTCCGGTTTTCGGAGCCGTCGGCTGTGTGCCTCGGTTCGGGACCGCCTAACCACCTCCGTTTTTTGGTATACACCTTATTTCCTCCCTTTTGAGGAACACTGTGGCCCGAGAGACCAACTTCGTGGTCGAATGCCACCTCCGGTGCTTAACAGCCCATTTTCGGGGCCCCGGGCGGCGCATTTCTGTCCCCGAACCTCCGTTTTGCATCCGTTTTGGTTCATTTTTGGTGGAGACCTTATTTTCATTGTTAGAAAGCTTGTAGGAGGGTGGGAGGCCAGCAATGTTTCTGAAAAGCCAGCTTTATTTCTTCATCGCTCTCCGTCGCCCGTTTTCCTCACTAAAAAGCTAATGTTGACCACCCCTAGGCCACTTTCTTTAGCCCTAAACCCCATATTTGTGTTGTACACATTTGGGAGGCCACCAATATGTATAGGCTGGCCAGTAATTGTCCTTGACCCTTTTGAACTCCTCTAAAAAGTTGCATTTTCTCTCTCCTGGTTCACATTTTCTGGGTTTTGACCATATATTTGTGTTGTGCACACATGGGAGGCCACCTTTTTGGGCTGGCCGGCCAGCAATTTTGATTGACCCTTTTGACCCCTGGCCGGCAGGCCAGGGGGGGTGACCGGCCGGCCACCTGAACCTTTTGAACCTGGCCGGCCATGATCCTCTCTCTAAGTGTATTCCAGCTGTGCAATTTGTTTTCCTCCAGATTTTGTATCCGGGGGGTTGCCTTTTGGGGGGAAAATTTGAATTTGTTTTTCCCCCCCCTTTCCTTGGCCTCTCTCCCTCTTTAAAACCAGCACTTTACCACCATTTTGAAGGGTTAGAAAACCAGCTGGAGCATACACCATTCCCTCCTCGATTGCTCTCCATTTTCAAGCTCCAAACACCCATTGTTCTTGACCTTTACACACCACCTCCAAGCCTACAACCTCCACACTCCATTCCAGCAACTTGAGGCTGTTTTTCAGAGGTTAGGAGCTCCTCTTTTTGGACCAAAAGCTGCTGGAAACCTGTGCTACAAGGGTGAGTCCCTATTTCCTCTTTTCTTGCCCTATTTTGCATGCTATCTTATCCCCTTTTGCTTACATTTTTAAGCTCTGACCTAAACTGTAAATAGTCATATTTTGAGCTCTTCTTCATGTTTGATCAAGGACTTTTTGCTGTTTGAGGTCTTCTCCTTACCTTTTGTGTTTAATCTCTCTTTTAGGCCTATTTTTGCATGATATTTTAGGCTTATTTGTGAGCTGTTTTGGACTTGGTCATAAACTGTGAAATGTCTTGTTTTGAGCGCCTCTTCAACTTTGTTGAAGGGCTCTCTTCTGTTTGAGGTCAGATGCTACCACTTGCCTCTTTATCCCTCTTTTAGGCCTTTTTCTTGCATGCTGATTTAGCCTCACTTTTGTTTATTTTTGAGACTTGATGTAAACTGTAAAGTGCTTCATTTTGAGCCCCTCTTCAACTTTGTTGAAGGGCTATTCACTGTTTGGGGCCAGCTGCTGTCCCTTGTCTCTATTCTCTCTTTTAGGGCCATTTTTGCATGATAGATTAGCCCTATTTATGTTCATTTTTGTGACTTGTTATAAACTAGAAAAAGGCTTGTTTTGACATCATCTTCATGTTTTATTAAGGGCATTATTTTATTTGTGGTCACATGCTTCCTTGTATGCTTGATTGTCCCTTGTTTTGAGCTTTTACACCTAAGCCCCAATTGCATGCTTTGTTTGGCCTTCTAGCCACTGAAATCCAGTGGATTTTTAGTGGCTAGAACACTATTTTGAGAGCCAAGATTAGAGGGGGGTGACCCCCTCTCTCCTTCTCTTGTTTGGTGGCCTTTTTGGCCTTCCAAAGAGACCCTACCTTGCGTGCTTAGAAGTCACTTTCCAGGGTCAATTTGGTGAGTTTTAGGACTACCATATTTGATTTTCATAGTTTTTTATGCCATGCTAAATGTATACCTTGCATGTGCTTAATAACTCCTTGCATGACCCTCCAAAGTAACTCATTATTTTTGCATACCATGGTTGCATATCAGTGGTTATTTGGGCCTATTTTCACATGATTTATTCACTGATTTTTGCTGGTTTGGTGAGATTACATTTGCTTCATATACTTGCCATGTAAACCATGATTGCTAGTCAAGATTGCATGCTATTTTGCCCACCATGCTAGCATCTTTTGGCTATGCTTTGAACTGGAAATGTTCATGTTTTGGGACTGCCTTGGCTCTGTCTTCATGCTTCATGATCAAATAATACATGCTTTGTATAGCTATAAGTCATTCCATGTGCCTAGTTTCGAGTTTTGGGTTTCATCTCATGCATCGGGTGCCATTTTTCCATGTTTCGGGGCTGTTTAGCATCATATTTTAGTGCTGAAATTTGTGAGTTTGCATGCCATCTTGCATCCCTTGCCATGCCTTGTTAGAGTTACATGTTATGCCTTAGGTTCGGTCCTCCGTTTGCGTGCATGCGTGCACGCATTTTGAGAGTCTCATTTTCACCTAATGGCCACTGATGTGAGTGTGGCTGAGGTCCACTCATGTTGGTGTAAGTCCATCGTGCATTGTGTATGCCTGCTATTTCATCCATAGCATTGTGTATGCTCGGCTGTATATTACCTCGTGCAGCGTGTATGCCATTCCATAACATTGTGTATGTTAGGATTGTATCTTAGTTGCATTTCGTGCATGTCATGCATATTGCATCGTGTTGGGGATAGGAGTTAGCCCGAGCACGGGAAACGAGGGACGTTTCGTACTCCGAGTGACGGAACGTGTCTCAATTCCCTGTCGTCGACATTCCGGATTACCCATGATGGAGTTTAGGCCTTGTTGTGTCCATATGTGCATTCATTTCATATTGAGTCATGCAATTCAACTTCTCGGCCATCATGTATCGAGATGCGTGATTGGTGGCACGAGAATCGGGGACTACACTCCCTGAAGACTAGTCATGCATACATATGTGAAAATACTTTGCCATGCCCCTTTGTTGCCCTCTGTTGCAGCAAATCAAAAATCAGCAACCTTCCGGAGCCTGACACGCATCCCAAGAATAATTACAAACAGAGGCAAACCGGGGCATCGCAAGGGATTCTCCGCACAAGGCAACTCGAGCATGCATCATTCATCATTTGGAACAGAGCTGAGGTGGTCCATGGATTTGCGTGCCAATTTACTGCTTTCCTAGATTAATTTGTTAATTAATTAGGATACTGTATTTATTCGGGACTGTATTATTTATTCATTTGGGACTGTATTATTTATTCGGACCCTCTGAGTGAGGGCACAATTGTAACAAGTGTGCGTGCGTGTGATGTATGTCTTCCAACCCCACGTCTTTCTCCCTTTTATTTATCAGCTTATGATGGTTAGATTAGGGCATGTTTCAATTAGCATACAGTATGATAGCATGTTTGCATTCATTCATCTATCTTGCATGCACCGGACTCGGTGTATCATACTAACTGCATTTGTATCTCAATTTCAAGTTGAATACATGTTAGTTGTAGCATTTCACATGCCATCTTTAGAATAGCCGAGCCTATCTTAGTTGCATTTTGCATGTGTTGCATTAGGCATTTCTGTATAGTTAGGACCATGCATGGATTTCTAATTAGCTTCTGTTTTGGCTTGGAGTACTCGGTAAGTGGTTATGCTTTAGCATCCTTGCATGCGTGTGAGTGACTGCCATGATAGCATGCTTACCATGAGGCTATATGCTTATGTGATATAACTGCCTGAATGCCTGTGGGTGAAGGTTGGATTATTTGAAATGTGGGAAAATAAATGCATTGACTGTGAGTTTTAAGCCCACTAGATAGTGGCAAAATCATGTTTTTCTAAGTCCACCTGAGGTGGCAAATCCACATTTTAGCCTACTTGCGAGTAGCAAACCGTTTTCAAAAACAAACATGAGATGTTTCGTTCCAATTCAGGCGATCCAGTCTATACTTGTATGCTGTGCGCATCACATAGTAAATCTAGGCTAATACCGGAATAAGAACGCATAATGTTTTCAAAACTAGATATCATGGTTAGTAGAGACCGATCTTTGATCGGGCGAGCGGGGGTGCTCACGAAGTGACCTTCCCCAATCGTACCCAAGTTCCCGAGCCGAGGCAACTTTGGTGATGACGGACACGTGACCTTAGGCAACGAGTCAGGGTTTCCTAAATTTCTCCAAAATAAAATATTTAGGTGGCGACTCTGTATCTGGCAAAACAGTCCATGTTTGGCACTTCTTTCAAAAAAATCTATTTTCTCAAAACGATTTGCCGGATTTAGACTCTTTGGTTCAGATTAAGAATCGTGACAATTTGAGAGTCCGAACTTGTAGTGAGCCCAAATGAACAGAACGGGACTCATCCTTCCGGGGCGTTCGGGGACGTCTACAA